GAAATATCACAAGTGGATGGCTTTAACAAAGAGAAATTTATTTTCTTACAGACTAGTAGGCTACAAGTCCAAATTCAGGGCATCAGTTCCAGGGGAAGGCTTTCTCTCTCTGTCAGCTCTGGAGGAAGGTCCTTGTCATCAATCTTCCCCTAGCTGAGGAGCTTCTCGGCACAGGGACACTGGGCCCAAAGGACGTGCTCTGCTCCTGGCCCTGATTTCTTGGTGGTATGAGGTCCCCCTTCTCTGTTTGCTTCCCTTTCCTTTTATCTCTTGAGAGATAAAAGGTGGTGCAGACCACAACCCAGGGAAATTCCTTTTACATTGGATCAGGGATGTGACCTGGGTAAGGGTGTTACATCCCACCCTAATCCTCTTTAACATAATCTAATCTTGCCTCATTAACCACAGGTAGAGATTAGGATTTATAACACAGGAAAATTACAACAATCACAAAATGGAGGACAACCGCACAATACTGGGAATCATGGCCTAACTAAGTTGACACATATTTTTGGGGGACACAACTCAATCCATGACACTGGTATTCTCTGCTTTCAGCCAAGATTCATCTGACATCAGGAATGCTATTCCTCATTCCACATCCTCTTCTGAATCCAGCTTGAACTTATGGCAGTTCTCTGTCAGTGTATTGCTGCAACCACTTTTGTATGATTTTCAGCAAAATTTTACTTGTATTCAGGGAACATCTAGCTCAACTGGCATAAAATAGTTTATAAAGAAAACGTTCTACATTCTACTCTGAAAAAATAAAGCTCTCTGGTAAAGGCAATTTCATGGGCAAATATAAAGGCCAGTTTTATTGTATACTTGGTTTGTAACCCTATTTATATCATATATGATTTAAAAGACAAATGCTTTAAAAATTATTATAAATTTATGTTATTGGACACACAATGTACAAAGATATAATTTGTGACAACAACAACATAAGCAGGGACAAAGAAGTATAGAAAGAGAGATTTTGTATGCTATTGTAGTTAAGTTGGTGTCAACTCAAACTAGATTGAAATAAAAGTGGATGTTAAGTGTAAACCCCATGGTAACAACAACAACAAAAAGTTTAAAAATATATAGACAAAGGAGAAGAAGAAAGGAATAAAAATGGTTCAATATAAAAAATTAATAAAAAGAAGGCAATATTGGAGGAAATAAGGAACATAAAAGTATAGACAAACAGAAAACAAACTGGCAGAAGCCCTTCCTTATTAGTAATTATTTTAAATGTAAATGGATTAAACTCTCCAATCAAAAGGCAGAGAATGGCAGAATGGATAAGAAAACGTCATCCAACTATATGCTGTCCTCAAGAAATCCACTTTAGGTCCAAAGACACAAATAAGTTGAAAGTAAAAGGAGGGGAAAAAATAATCCAAGCAAATGGTAACCAAAAGAGAACTAAAGTGAGTATATTAATATCTGACTTTAAGTCAAAAACTGTTACAAGAAATAAAGGACATATATAATGATAAAAGAGTCAATTCATCAAGAAGAGATAACTATTATAAATATATGCACCTAATAACAGATCCCCAAAATGTATGAAACAAACATGGACAGAAGTAAAGAGAACAATAATTCAGTTCAACGATAATAGCTGGAGACTTCAATACCACACTGTCTCAAACAACCAGACAGAAGATAAATAAGGAAATGGAGGGCTTTGACCTACAGACCAAGTGGACCTAACAGATATATACACTCCACTCAACAGCTGCAGATACACATTCTTCTCCAGTGCACATAGATCATTCTCCAGGATAGACCATATGTTAGGTCAAAAAACAAGTCTCAATAAATTCAAAGAGACTGAAATCAAGGTATCTTCTTGTACCACAATGGAAAGAAACTTGAAGTCAATAACAGAAGGAAAATTGGAAAATTCACGAATATGTGAAAATTAAATAACACACTACTGAACAGCCTATGAGTCAAAGAAGAAATCACAAGGGAAATCAGAATATACTTAAAGATAATAAAAAGGAAAATACAGCATACCAAAACTTATGGGATACAACGAAGGCAGTGTCAGAGGGAAATTTATAGTTATAAACACCTACATTAAAAAAGAAAGATTTCAAATCAATAACCTAATTTTATACCTTGAAGAACACTAAACCCAAAGATAAACAAAATCAGTTGTGTTTCTATAGACCAGCAAAGAAAAATCTGAAAAGGAAATTAAGAAAACCATTTATTTTACAATAGCATCAAAAAGAATAAAATACCTAGGAACAAATTTAACCAAGGAAGTGAAAGACCTTGTCACTGAAAACTATAAAATACTGCTAAAAGGAATTAAAAGAGATCTAAATAAATTGAAAGACATCCCATGTTGATGGATCAGAAGACTTAATATTGTTAAGATGCCAGTTCTACTGCTTCTATGCAAAATCATCTACACACACAATGCAATTCCTATTAAAATTCTAACAGCCATTTTTTCAGAAATGGAAAAGCCAATTCTGAAATTCATACGGAATTGCCAGAGGCCCATAAAAATTAAAATGATCTTGAAAAAAAGAACAAAGTAGGACTCAAACTTCCCACTTTCAAAACATACTACAAAACTACAGTAATAAAAACAGTGTGGTACTGGTATAAGGATCAACAGATAGACCAAGAGATTAGAATTGAGAATTCGGAAATAAATCCATATATCTATGGCCAATTGATTTTTCTTTTTTGTCAATACTTTTTTTTTTTTTTATTGTACTTCAGGTAAAGGCCTACAGAACAAATAGTTTCTCATGAAACAGTAGTACACATATTGTTTTACAACATTGGTCAACAACCCCACAACACGTCAACCCTCTCCCTTCTCGACCCTTTTTTTTTTGGTGAAAATATACATAGCCAAAGATACACCATTTCAAAAATTTCTACATGCACAGTTCAGTGACATCGACTACTCTCTTCCAATTGTGCTGCCATTCTCACTCTAGATGAAGGCTAAAAGAACAAAATAGTTTCTCATTTAACAGTTAGTACACATGCTGCCCTATGACAATGGTTAACAACCTCACAATACATCAACACTATCCTTACTCAACCTTGGGTTCCCTACCACCAGCTTCCCTGTGCCCTTCTGCCTTCTTGGCCAATTGATTTTTGATAAGGGTACCAAATCCTTTCAATGGGGAAAGAATAGCCTCTTCAACAAATGGTGTTGGGACAACTGGATTTCCACATGGAAAAGAATGAAGTTGGGCCTATACCTCACACTATATACAAAAATTAATTCAAATGGATCAGTGATCAAAATATAAGAGCTAAAACCATAAAACTCTTAGAAGAAAGTATAGTGGTAAAGCTTCAGGACCTTTTAGGCAGTGGATTCTAAAATATGATACCAAAAGCATGAGCAACAAGAGAAAAAATAGATAAATTAGACTTCATCAAAATTTTAAAAGTTTGTGCATCAAGGGACATTATCAACAAAGTAAAAAGTCAACCTATAGAATAGAAGAAAATATTTGGAAACCATGTTTCAGATACGGGTTTAATATTCAGAGTACATAAATAACACTTAAAACACAACAACAAAAAGACTAACAACCCAATTTAAAAATGGGCAAAGGACTTGAATAGACCTTTCTCCAAAGAAGATGTACAAATGACCACTAAGCACACAAAAAGATGCTCAACGTCATTCATCATTAGGGAAATGCAAATCAATACCACAATGAGATACCACTTCATACCCACTGGGATGGCTATGATCAATAAATAGAAAATAACAAGTGCTGACGAGGCTATGGAGAAATTGGAACACTCATACATTGCTGGTGGGAACGTAAAATGGTGCATCCACTATGGAAAACAGTTTGGTCATTCCTAAAAAAGTTAAACATCAAATTACCTTATGGTCCAGCGATTCTACTCCTAGAAATATACCCAAAATAATTGAAAGCAGCGACTCAAACAGACATATGTTCATTGTAGCATTATTCACAAAGCCAAAAGATGGAAACAACCCAAGTGCCCATCAATAGATGAATGGATAAATAAAATGTGGTATATGCAACGACAGAGTATTATTCAGCCACAAAGAGAAATGAAGTTCTGATTCATGCCACTACATGGATCAACATTGAAAAAACTATGCTAAGTGACATAAGTTACACAAAAGGACATATAATTTATGATCCCACTTATATGAAATATCTAGAATAGAAAAATCCATCAAGATAAAAGAAAATTAATGTTTACCAGGGGCTGGGGTAGGGGGATGGATAAAGCCCTGGTGGAGCAGTGGTTAAGAGCTTGGCTGCTAACAAAAAGGCAGGCAATTCGAATCCACCAGCAGCTCCCTGGAAACCCTTTAGGGCAGTTCTACTCTGTCCTACAGCGTTACTTTGAGTCAGAATCATCTCAACAGCAACGGGTTAGGTGCTGAGGGAAGGGAGAAAGGAAGAATGGGGAGTTAAATATATGTATATATATATTTTAAAAAAAACAGTCAAATCATAAAACAAAATTACCTACACCCTAATTATGTTATTACACAATTAGCCTTAATTATGTTAATCATACTCCTTAATAATAGATTTGCTTCAGTGTGTATCTATATAAATAAACAAAAAGGGAGGAGGTTATAGTCCCTCACTGATATTCCAAAAGCACTTAACAACAAAAGAACAGGAGTGAGTCTTAATATATCATCCACCTTTCAAATGAGGCACACCTATATCCAAATAAAGTAGTTCCCATACAAGCCCCAAGTATGCTATTCAGACAGAAAACTCAGATTCACCCAGAATTTTACATCTCTACGCAATTATTTAAAATTGGCTTTAGAGTGCACAGTCTCTTAACTCTTATAAAATGGGTGAATTTAATCTATTCAAGTAAAATCAAAGCTTAAACAGTTAAAAAATTAGATCTTCACAGCCTTTAAAATTAATGAGAAAAAACTACAATCTACTGAACAAAATTTTATTTTAAATTACTAGATTTTAGTGCATATGAAAATTTTTCATAACATATGACATGTAAAGATGTTAGCATATTGAACTACAATAGAAAATATTCTTATACATCTTTTGAAATCAGTAATATGTTTATTTCTCCTGTGAATGAATGTGAGGTTTGCTTAAGTCATGCAGTATCAAGTAGGTTTAAAATTTTTATATTATTCTTTATTAACTTCCTAATAAGCCTTTGAGTTTCTTCTCGACCTACACATAATATTTTTTTCAATGTAGTGAATACTGTACTAGCTTTTTCTCTCATCTCTGGTGGAACATATTTAATATCAAAATATTCAGATAATTTAGATCTAGAATTATACAGCATGTTAATAACAGTTTCAATGCTATCGATTTCATTACCAGTTTGTCCTAGTGGTAAGATCTGGGATTCATACATTTTAGTTAATTTATGTTCTGCGGCTGCTGCTAGAGCAATGCTTCGTCTTAGGTGATCTTTAGAGGCTTGAATGTCCTCTCTAGATTCTTTGATGAGGTTGTCACCAAGAGGTGCCTGTTGCACCTGTGAATGAATATCTGAAATTTTTTTCAAAATGTCATCATTATTCAAAATTTGCGGGTGTTTTATAAATGTAGGTGCTTCAAGTTTTTCTGCATCAAATCCACCTGAGAGCTGAGGAACATCTTCTGTGGATTCACCGAAGTCAGTGCTTTCCTTTGAAGTGGCGATAGGTGGTGTACGTGTGGCGAAAGTTGGACTCCTAGGAAAATCACTAACACGTGAAAATGTCCTTGATGTCCAAGTTGGCTTCGTATCCACTTCTGGCTCTTCTTCTTTTTCAATATAAGGTTCTTTTGCATGTAAAACAACAGAAACATTGTTTGGTTTGATCCACCAGAAGGCTGTACTTTTAGTACGTTTTCTCCTCCCAATTTCCAGTGTGAAGCCTCTAGTAGGGAAAGTTGTAGTTTCTTCACTGATGGGATTGATTAAAACATCATTCTCATTTACAGCTTCTTCATGTGTAACTATCTCCTTAAATTTTGACACCTTCGATCTTGTAGAATAAACATTATTTGGAGGCTTTGATTTCAGCCCCTGGCCTGGCTCCTCTTTAGTGGGAACACTTAGCAGCATGTTCTGTAAAACTTGTACATAATGATTCAAGTTTTGCTCTTCGTCAGGCGTCACAGTTATGCCTTAGGGGAAAAAAAATCACATAAACAGTAAGTAGCATTTATTATTATTTGTGACACATTGGCAGAATTTACTGACCTAAATTTACTTCACATGCTATCACTTAAAAGTTGAGATAAAGAACTAAGAAAAAAAACACCTTTGACACAGAGTCAGTGCTCACTTATCCAAACAAAATTATGTTTTCAGGTTTGTATTAAAACACATGAGCAAGATTAGTGCAAAAGTTGTATATTAACACAGTTCTCCATATCTTTTTGCTTTTACTCTCCCACATAACTTATGATTCAGCAGGCAACTTATTAAACTAAAATTCTTGATTACGTCCTCCAACCTACTGGTGCCAAAGTGGGTTTGCACTGGGTCACTAGAGGCAAATGTTAAATTTTTAGGAATTTTTTTGAGCCAAGTGTTAAGCACAGATAACATTAAAAATGAAATTTATGAATTTTCAAATATATCTAAAACAAAGGTAATAAATACTAAAAAAATCATTTTTATTACTTTATTTCACTCATTATTTTACTATTTATCTAGGCTTTTGAGGTTATTTATGTCTATTGTATCTGTATGGTAGAAATACTATATGATGGTACGCTACTGTGCATCTCTTTTCACCTTTCAGTGAGGTTAAGTTGATAGCTTGATATCTAACATAGTGGGAGTATTTACACTGTGTCAATGGGCAAATGCTATAAATCAGGGCTTCTCCCCTCTGCCCAAAAGCCAGTTGTTAAATATTTACCAGTACACTACTACCTCCAACCCTGCAGGCCATTATCTGCCCAACTGATTTTATAAATAAAATCATATTGGAATCCAGTCGGCCTTGCCCATTTGTTTATGTAGGTGTCTCATAACAAAGGCCTGGAGGCCTGCTTCCAAAAGGTCACAGCCTTGAAAGTCCTATGGAGAGCAGCTCTAATCTGCAACACATGAGATTGCCACGAGTAGGGATCGACTCGACAGCAACAGGAATAGCAACAGCAGAACTGAGTAGTTGCAACAGAGACCACATGGCCTGTAAACCAACAATATTTACCACCTGACACTTTACAGAAAAAGTTTGCCGATTCCTGGTCTAAACCATCAATATTTTACTCTTACAATAAAATGCAGTACTATTTACACTGGTATTTTGCAGTATCTGAGTGGCGAGGTCCCTCACTTCCAACACGGAGAACAGAAAAGATTACTGAATAAGATATTCTGAAATTCTGTAACTACCCTACTCCTGAGTCAGGAGGATTTTAAGTGCCGGGATTTCGGATTACATTAAATTTCAATTGATTTTGTCACTACTCTCATGGATTCACTACTTATGTCACTACTTATCATGGATTCAAATTGGCTTAATTCAAGGAAGTCTTTTTGCAAATCTATAATGAATAACTCTTACCTGAACCATCTCTCTGCAGGCTAAACAAAATAACACACTCTGTATTCAGGAGACATTTTTAGTTGGCTTTTTGGCAAGCACAAAATACTCAAAACTTGCTTTATATCTACATTTCTCCTCTCTAACTGTTCTGTTACAACTTACATCAGATAGAAGTTTAATCAAAATTAAAAGCATTATTTCTAAATTTTAAAAAATTATTTAAAAAAATTTTAATGAGAACAGTTTAGTGAGGCAAAATAATAGTGAAAAGACACCAGATTTGTCTGGAGAGTTAGATTTTATAACGAAATTCTGCATTTTATGTTATGCTTAGAAGAGCCTTGCATACCAAGATCTATATAATGATGGATGAAAAAAGGAAGATACAGAACATAAGGCAGAGTTGGATTTTATTCTTCTGATTTTATTAAAAACTCACATAGTATCACACATTGTGTGTGTGTGTGAATTTCAAGGTTTTTTGTTTTTTAAATGAACTGGAAGCGTAACACACCAAACTCATGTGGTGGTTGCCTCTGAAAAATGAAGAGAGGAATGGGATTGAAGGCAGTAGTTAAGGAAACTTTAGACTAATCTATAGTGTTCCACTCCTTAAAAAAGAAAAGAAAAAAACCACCAACCACTTAATATAGTAAACTATTAAAAGTCACTTTTTAAAAAGGAAGATAACTTATTAATGTAGATACATATTTATAAAAATGCATTGTCCTAAATCTAGAGTTTTCCTAAAGGAAAATATTGAACAAAATGTGTAGCTTAGTGCACTGAAAATAAAATTTTTGATTCTGATTCTAGCTCTGTCACTTTCTAATGGCATGACTTTAACTAATTTCATAATTTCTCTGAACATTTACTGAACTGTAAAATTAAGATATTGGCAGGGTCAAGATGGTGGAGTAGTCAGACGCCTCCTGTGGTCCCTCTTATAACAAAGACCCAAAAAAACAAATGAACCAATTATATATGACAACCTAGGAGCCCTGAACATGAAAGACAAAGTTCAGGAATCGGATTGAGCGGCAGGGGCAGGGAGAGACATTTCAGAAGCAGAAAGGAGTTGCCAGACCTGACCTAGCCGATACTGGCACCCTGCAGGCTGGATCAGCTGGTAATAGAAATGAGGCAAGCAATGGCTCTCGGGATGTGTTTTCCACATCGGGAGAGACTGAGCAGCAGAGAGGTGGCTCCAACCTCCAGAACCAGCAAGAAATGGTGCTCAATCAGCGAAAGATAAGTACAAGCATCTAACCTATAGCACAGATCCAAAAAAAAACCCTTTTGGGAAGTACCTCTCTCCCATTTACCTAATCCCTCCCTGCTCTGCTCCAGGTCCCGGTCTGCTTCAGCTATTGCTGCACTCCCTGGGCCGGAAGTAGGACCCGTCAAGCACCCTGAGCCATTCTCCTGGCTTTGGAGAGGGAACAAATTTACAAACAGGAAAAAATAATCTGCCAGTTTCCCTAAGCCAGGAACTCAGGGTAGGCACAGCCCTTTTGCCTAGGCACAGGCATGAGGGGTCCATGGACATTGAATGCCTTTCACCCCTGTGTGAGCCCCTTTGAACAGCGTACGCCCTCATTAGCACAGTATAACAGGGTATATACCTGAAGCCTATTTTCATCTGTATCTGCTATAAGGGGGAGTGGCAGATTCATGACATTTGACATTGCCCTGCCCATTAAGCAGGGTCCTTACCTACCCACATCAGGGGCCTGAGGACTCGTGGCTCCATCCACTCCACCAAGCCACCCGTGACAGGGGTCTAAGAATAAGTGGTGACTTCTAGTCCTTACAGCCAATAGCATTGGGTACCCATAGTCTGGCTGCAAAACCCACCTACCTACGCGCTCTAGGGAGCAGGGACATACCTTCCACCCAGACACTCAGGGGCAGGAGTCAGCCCCTGCCTTGATCAGTGCATGCCCCGCTACTGCAGCCAGATACCTGTGCCTGCTCCAATCACCCCTGCTTGTCTAGGACTGCAGGTGAGAGCCTGCACCACACTCGGTGACCGACGACCTGGACACCTAAGCTGAATCCCCACAAGAAAAGTAAACAGACTCCGAGGCAGACATACCTAGTAACAGCTCTAGCCACCTGGAGACAGGATGTGTGAGCTTCAAAGATGCCAATAATCAAATGAGCTCACACAATCAGCCTATTTGGGCTTATCAAAACAAAACAAAACAAGAAGCTAGGACATAGTAACATAAAATAAATGAATATAATAACTTGTTGATGGCTCAGAGACAACAGTCAATATCAAATCACATAAAGAGGCAGATCATGATGGCTTCAGTAAGCCACTAAAACAAAGAATCAAGAAACCTTCCACAGGAAGAGAACTTCCTGGAATTGCCAGAGGTAGAATTTAAAAGACTAATATACAGAATTCTTCAGGAGATCAGACAAAATGTAGAACAAGCCAAGGAACACACAGACAAAGCAATAGAGGAACTTAAGAAGGTTATATAAGAGCATAATGACAAAATTGAACAGACTGCAAGAATCTATAGAGAGACAGCAAACAGAAATCCGAAAGATTAACAATAAAATTTCAGAATTAGACAACTCAATAGAAAGTCATAGGAGTAGAATTGAGGCAATGGAAGTCAGAATTGGTGAGACTGAAGATAAAGCACTTCACACCAACTTATTTGAGAAAAATCACATAAAAGAATCTTTAAAAAATGAAGAAACCCTAAGAATTATGTGGGACTTTATCAAGAGGAATAACCTACGAGTGATTGGACTATCAGAACAGGAGGGGTAACAGAATATAGAAAGAATTGTTGAAGATTTGTTGGCAGAAAACTTCCCTGATATCATGAAAGATGAGAGGATATCTATACAAGATGCCACCCCTCACAAGGTAGATCCCAAAAGAAAGTCACTAAGACATACTATAATCAAACTTGCCAAAATCAAATATACACAGAGAATTTTAACAGCGACTAGGGATAAATGAAAAGTCATCTACAAAGGAGAGTCAATAAGACTAAACTTGGACTATTCATCAGAAACCATGCAGGCAAGAAGGCAATGGGATGACATACATAAAGCCTTGAAGGAAAAAAATTGGCAGCCAAGAATTATATATATAGCAAAACTGTCTCTCAAATATGATGGCAAAATTCAGACATTTCCAGATAAACAGACGTTTAGGGAATTTGTAAAAACCAAACCAAAATTACAAGAAATACTGAAGGGAGCCCTCTGGTTAGAAAATCAATAACATCAGACAACAACCGAAGACTAGAACACAGGACAGAGCAACCAGATATCAACCCAGATGGGGGTCACAAAAATAAATCAAAGCTAAAACGCTGAAACTAGGGAAACAGATGTCAATATGTAAAAGATGACAACATTAAAACAAAAAAAGAGGGACTAGAAAATGTAGTCATAGATCTTTCATAAGGAGAGGAAGTCAAGATGATATAAAGAAATAAAAGATGGGTTTAAACTTAGAAAAACAGGGGTAAATATTAAGGTAACCACAAAGGAAACTAACAATCCTACACATCAAAATAAAAGACAAGAAAAACATAAAGACTCAGCAAATACAAACTCAACAACAATGAAAAAGATGAAAAGAAA